ACAACTTCCGATCCGTTCAGAAGCTATAGGTATTCAGCTGTTCTTGCAGTGTGGAAGAAGATGATTCCCAGGTGCAGAAGCTTTGTTCTTTCATGTCGAGATTGGCTGAGCTACTCTACATTACCAGTTTGAAAGAGGTAGGGTTTCAAAGTGGGCGGAGGTTTTCTATCTGTTTTTAGCGAATCTGGGCGAGTTAATTATAGTTTAACGATCAGCTATAACTTTCAAAGAGCTATTCATTGGGGTTAATTCATGTTTTATTGAAGAAAGTAGCAATTGACTTTTTCTTCCTTGAATTTCAATTGGCAAGATAGGGTTGCATAGCAGCAAATTATCGTTTGTTTTATGGTTTTAGCTCTGGTGAAATAAGTTTCTGTACACTGGTATTTGTGTTGTCTTATCTATTCCAACTGTCCTTATATAGGGAGGATCTCCTTCTGTCTGAGGCTAGATTAAATTTGTCGTGTTCATAGTTTTTTATGAGTTTGGAGATTCCATGGATTCTCATAAAGAATCAACACTGCTGAAGCCGGAGGAGGTGGTTTTAGCCATCTTGGGGGAGTCTCCAGCTGCAGAAAATTCTTCAAACCAAGCTGCTACAAATACAAAGTTGGAGTCTTTGCAGGAACCACATAATGTCAAACCCAAAACACCCAGTCCTGAGTTCTCAATGTCTGCCGGAATGAGCCCGAAGAAGCCCCCGAGACCACCACAGTCTGAGGTACTTCTTCGCCGGCGTTCCATTGCTAAGCCCAAGTCAAGGTTTGAAGAGCCCACCGATTCTATTGACAGCTCCCATACATTCTTCCATGACCAGCCTTCGAGCTCACCATATAATGGATCGCCAAACAAAAAAGCTTCTGGAACTCCTAAGACTCCTCGGTCCAACTTTGATGAAGAAGAAGAGGAAGAGGAAGAGGAAGTGTACAAGAAGGTGTTGCTCCAGGAAAATGGAAAGCGGAGAAAAAAATGGAGACTTTGGCTTTTGATTGAGTGGTTGATACTAATCTTGGCCACAGCTTGTTTGATTACAAGCTTGCTGGTTCAAAGGCTGCAAGGACATGTTATTTGGGGCTTGGAGATTTGGAAGTGGTGCCTTATGGTGATGGTCATTTTCTCCGGCCAACTCATGACCCACTGGTTCATCACCGTCCTTGTTTTCCTGATTGAAATAAATTTTCTTTTTAGAAAGAAAGTTCTCTACTTTGTCTATGGACTTAAGAAAAGTGTTCAGGTCTGTGTATGGTTAGGGTTGGTTCTTCTCTCTTGGTCACTCATTTTCAATGACAACCATGTTCCAAGATCACCAAAAACTGCAAAAGCTCTCAATTATATATCCAGAATCTTAGCTTCTCTCCTGATAGGTTCCGTGATTTGGTTGGTAAAGACCCTTTTGGTGAAAATATTAGCTTCAACATTCCACATGAACAGATATTTTGATCGGATTCAAGAGACTCTCTATCATCAATATTTGCTAAAGACTCTTTCGGGGCCTCCTCTGATGGAAATGGCAGAGAAAGTTGGCCCCTCTAAGAGTTCAGCCCAGTTTAGCTTCAGGAGCATTGTGAAGAACAAGGGAAAAGGAAAAGGAGAAGAGATGGAGGCGATCGACATTGCGAAGCTTCACCGCATCAGCCAGGAGAAAGTCTCAGCTTGGACCATGAGGGGTCTAATAAATGTCATTAGAAGCTCCGGTCTTTCAACAATTTCAAATAAGATTGATGAGAGCTTTGTTGAGGATAGGGGTGAGCAAAAAGATAAGGAGATAACTAATGAGGGAGAAGCAAAGGCTGCAGCTTACCAGATTTTTAAGATAGTTGCCAAACCTGGTTACAAGTGAGAAGATGGGCTTTTATTTTTTAATTTTGCCCAATTTTTATTTTAATAATAATTCTGGTTATTTTTTAAAAGGTACATTGAAGTGGAGGATCTCATGAGGTTTTTAAGCAAGGAGGAGATCTCATATATGCTTCCGCTTTTCGAAGGAGCTTCCGAGACAGGGAAGATCAAGAAATCTGCATTGAGGAACTGGGTGGTAAGTTAATAACCTAATTTCAATAAATACTCCATAATTTATTTATTTTTTTCTTGGACATTATAGCTGAAGGGAATGCCAACAATTTATTGTGGCTTGCAAGGGTCATTCTTTCTTGAACTATGATTAAGAAAAGCACCTATTTTGGTGTATGTGATTTTGATTAAATTGTTTCAAGTGGTACATGGTAATCTGGAATGTAGGAATTCTCAAGGGGATCCATTGTTTTAAGATATCATGAAATGCAAAATATTATAAATATGTATGAGATTTTCTTCATAAAGATGCAACCAACCTTGTGCAAAATTGATGGAAGACTAAGCAATTTCTGAAAGAAAGCGACTAAATGTTAGAAAATTAGCTGGCCACTTTGATGATCCATAGATACAGACCAACTTTGTCCCTGTGATTTAGTAGTATATGTCATAGGAAAAATTAATCACAATAATTGAAGAGTATATAAAAACCACAATAGGATGAAATTTCATTCACATAGTGATTTTTAAAAATGTGACAAAGCTTAGTGCTTGTTTAAGATCAATTTACTTTTGTTTTTGCTTTTAAAAATATATTTGTTTAATATGCTTTTTTATATATGTATATTTTTTTTGCTTCTAAGAACAAATGAGTATGTTCTCGAAAACACTCAAAGCAACTTTTAGGCATTTTGAATGTATTTGAAGATTTTTATATCTTAATCAAATATGTCAAACATATTTTTTTTTTTCAAAACTAAACATAAATAAAGCAAATTAAAAACAAAAGTGATCTCAAACGGCCCCTTAATAGAGAATAGTGATGTAAGTGAGCCAAGTAGACTCGTGAGCTGGCTCGGGCTATACTAGATAAGTCGCTTGTGGCTGAGCTAACAAGCCAAGCTCAAACCAACCATGAGTCTACTCGTTAGCTCGCGAGTCGGCTCGTTTAAAAAAATATTAATATAAAATGAAATACAAAAATATTAAAATTCAAAACTTTATCTTTAAATTATTAAATAAGTTTAAAAATCATATTTTAAATTGTATATCAAGTGATTTCTTAATATTTATTTCATAATTGCTAATTATATTTATCATTTTATTATAACTCTAGCTTAAATTAATATTATTTTCTCTGTTTTATAATAAACAAGTCGGCTTATGAACTAGTTCATACTCGTAGACTTAAGCTTTACTTAAAATTTAGTTTTCTAGTTTGATATTCATAGAATGAAATAATGCACCACATGAATGAAAAAAATTAAAAAAAAACAAAAGCAAAAATTAATACACGTACCGTAAAGAATAAAAAAAAAACCAAAATATGGATTAAAACAAAATTTTCGGAGGTTCAGCCAACTCAAATCTCAAGCCTTTTGAGTTCTTATGTAAATTATGTATGAAAAACTTGTCGCCGGGTTTCTATTGTCAATTCTTGGTTATATGGCAAAGAATGGTGCACTGGATAATATCTTTTGATTTGTAAACTATTCTCTTAATTAACCTTATGTTTTGTTTTATCTATCCTACGGCAAGAACACTAGAATGCAAAAAAAAAAAAAAAAAAAAAAAAAAAAAAAAAAAAAAAAAAAAAAAACACATAAGATACTCAAATATATTTGTTTGTTTATGCAATTTCCATCCTAAATCTTTTTTTTTTCACTTTTAAAAGGTGAAAGCCTATCTCGATCGCAAGTCCCTCGCGCATTCCTTGAATGACACAAAAACGGCTGTCAATCAACTGCACAAGCTCTTATCTACTATAGTTATTGTTCTTATCATAATCATCACCTTGCTTATCATGGGCTTCGCCACAACAAAAGTGCTAGTTTTGATCTCTTCTCAGCTCCTACTTGTGGGCTTCATATTTACGAATAGCTGCAAGACGGCTTTCGAAGCTCTTGTGTTCGTGTTCGTGATGCATCCGTTCGATGTCGGCGACCGTTGTGTAATTGATGGAGTTCAGGTAATTATTTGAGTTTGATTATTTGTTTTCTTTCTATATTTCCCATTGATATGACATTGTTTTAGTAGTTAATGTTTTCAGATGATTGTGGAAGAGATGAATATTTTGAGTACTGTTTTTCTTCAATCTGACAATGCCAAAATCTACTATCCAAATTCAGTACTGGCCACCAAACCAATAAGAAACTTCTATCGAAGTCCCGATATGGGTGATTCTGTGGAATTTTCTGTTGATATTTCGACTTCAATGGAGAGAATAGCTGATTTGAAGGCTAGGATTAAAATGTAAGTGAATTATAACTCTGTATTATCTTCATTGACGAGTTTGCCCGATTTCATTTCTGTGAATTAACTTGGAAATCACTAAATCATGGAAGTTTTGGAATAAGGCATTATTGCCACTACTATTTCAACTTATTACTTATCTTTTTCTTCAATTTCTTTTCTTAATTTTTTCTTTTCTCCTTCAATATCTAATTTGTCTCCCTTTGATTCCTACATTGAAGTCTTTTAATAATGACTTAATTTAGAAGTTGCTCGCTCTTTTCTACTAATGGTTGCAAATAGAGAAATTCAAGTTAATAAGAAATGATTCATGAAAATTAACCATGAGGAATTAAGTTTGGAGTATTTTTGTGAAATATTAGTTCCATATCCTTATGCGGATGTGGGGAAGTTGAAAATAAATTTAGTTAGACATTTAAAAATATATTTTATAGTGTAGAAATTACTTGGGAAGTAAAATTCCTTCAAACATATCTCATCTAAATTAGGAAAGGAAGTAATTCTAAATAAAGCATATAAAAACATAAAACTGGAAGAGAATAACCAAATCAGAGGTTTCATAGAATATCCCAATAAAACCCTTCAAGATTCGGAGGTGCTGGTCGTCCCACATGGGAGGTAAATACGAAAAGAACCAAATCTTCTCCTATTTCCACTCATAGAATTGCAAGTAGGTCGGTTATGCCATATGTTTCTTATTTTTGTATTAAAAAGATGTCAATATCTAAGTTAAGCATGATAAAATTCTGATTATTAAGATGAACGTGTGGCAAAAGTATGAATGATAAATTAACGAGTGATTATATTAGAAGGATGGCTGAAGTGAGAGTAGAAAATACACTGTAGATGAGTAGATAAAATTAAGCTTCAACTAAGATGATGGACGAATTTTAGTTAAGTCGTTTAATTGTTGAAAAAGATAATAAGATCAGAAAACTATTTGTCGCTAATGCTGCTTGCGCTTGAATGAATTCAAGTCATAAACTCTAATGATTCCTTATTTTTCAGACATTTTGTCTGATCATTTCGGTCTAGATTTTCAGCAAAACCAATTGGTTTTGCAAATCTGTCATCCAAATCATCTAGACCAACCAAATGCACAACATTATACAGAGGAGAAGAATTCATCATATCAAAAAGAAAATGAGTTATAAACAGAGAGTAACACAGCTCTCATATTCAATCTCTACACTATCACCACAAATCCCCTAACAAATTCCTGTAGTTTGAGTCGCGCCACATATATCACACCGGAGTAAAGTATCAAAATGTCTATTTCAGTCCTAGAGTTTATACAACAACAACAAAGCCTTAGTCCCACTACGTGGGTCGGCTACATGAATCCTTTTTTCTCTATTGCGTCCTATTTAAAGTCATATTTTCATTTAGTTCTAATAAATTAAGTTCTTTTTTCATACAATAAGCCTAAGTTTTCTAGGTTTACCTCTGTCTTTCTTAACATAACTCAAATCTAAAATATCTACTCTCCCAATCGGATCATCATACGGTCGACGTTTGATGTGACCAAACCATCTAAGACGACTCTCTAATTTTGTCCGTCGCTGGAGCTACACCAACCCTATCACAGGGATATTCATTTCGCATTTTGTCTCCAAGTGTAAAACCACTCATCCACCTAATCATTCTCATCTCGGCAACACTTAGTATCATGCCTGGCTTTTAAAGGCCAACATTTAGCGCCATGGAGCATTGCAGGTCTCAGCACCCTCTTATAAAATTTTCCTTTCAATTCGAGATTTCTTAAAAGTATTAATTTAGTCCTCATCGTGTACCACTTCAACCTATATTAAAAGAGTCGGAGGACTAAATTGACACTTTTGTAAGGTTTAATGGCTCTTCGTACAATAGTTACGGTACCATTTTTACAATTTTATTGATTACCCCAACACTTATTGATTCGAACTGAAATGAATTCGAGTCATGAAACTCTAACGATTGTCGATACTTTCTCAGGTACATAGACAGCAAACCGAACCATTGGCATCAAAACCTAAGCTTTGTGGTGAAGGAGATTGTGGACGTGAACAAAATAAACATAGTTATCTACGTGACGCACACCATGAACTATCAGAACATGGGGGAGAAGAACAGCCGGCGGACTGATCTGGTTCTGGAGCTGAAGAAGATATTTGAGGAGCTCTCTATTGCCTACAATCTTCTTCCCCAGCAGGTTCATCTCAGCTACGTTGGGTCAAACCCACTGCCTATGTCTATCTGCAATCATGGCCTGGCGTGAATCTTGATGCATGTGGATCTATCTGCAAGAATCTTCATGCTTTGGGACGGTATTTTCGAAGTCTTGACACAGTTTTTAAAAATCGTTACTGGTTTTATTTATTGAGCGTTGCCTTGTTTTAGATGTGAAGGAAATTGACTTTATGAAGAGTATAAATGTTTGATTTTTCATGAATCAATTTGATTTTTAGTTGAATTAAAGATGATGTGGCACTAGGAAAATCGTTGGATTGAGCGCAAATCTTGATGTAAGTCTTCTTCACGAGATCCAATCAAATGTTGTATTTAGATTTTAGGATCACATGAACTCTGATTTTAACACTTTTAGTCAAACCATTTGAATGATATCTAATTTTTTTTAAATTGGCCTAAACTCATTTTAAAAAAATATTTATATTCAAAATGTATTAAATTTTAATACTTATTTTGAAACTATTAGTAAAATAAAAAAAATGATATTTTTAATTTGACATTGTTTATTTTTTTAATTGTTCATTCTATTTTTTTTTGTTTTATTATAAGAGTAGTTTTAATTAATATTGATCCATCTCTCTTCTACAATAAATAAACAGGCTTGTGAGACGGTTTGAACACGTAAGTTTGAGTTCAAGCTTAATTAATTAATTAAGTTTAAGCAGAGAGTGATTTAAGTTTGACTCTATTACACCGTGGTAATTTTTTTTGCAAGAAATGTGTAATTTCAATTAAAAATCATTCAAGTTTTTTATGTAAGTAAACTTATAATAAAATTGAGTGACATGACAAGATGAATGTAATGATGCCAAAATTGACAAAATCCAAGTTAAATCAAGCCTAATGGAACCATTAAACTAATTTTGAAAGTTTTTGGTGCCTAATCAGAAGTTCAAATGAATTTCAAATATGACGAGTTTATAGTCGAGTCAAGCATCTTGGAGAGACTAATCCAATGACTCTAAGTTCACTCAATTCTGACTTTATTAAGGTGCTCATATGTTCACTGACCGCAGTCCGATTAAGCAATCCCTTGGTTGTTTGACAGGGTGCTTCAAATTCATATCTTATTTACTGAAGTCCTCCCCAAACTTTATAAATAGAGCACTCCACCTCTTGAGAGGGAACTTAACGAAGCTCGTACAGAGACGAAACTTGTTTGCTTAGAAGTAACAAATCTACACTATTGAGTTATGAAGCATCATATAGAGTGCATCATCTTGAATGTCATAATAACAACCGCTGGGCTAACCTCGAAGACAACCTCACTGTGACCACTCCATTCCATGGTTCAACAAGCTCTTCTGTGCATGACTGTTGTTAATCAATAAATTGTGTAATCCTTTTTCACATTTGGGATAAAGAACTGTATATGTAATCACTAACTCATAGCAGATCTTTTCAAGTGGGTTAGATCCCGTTATTTTTTCATTTTCTGAGTTTTTCACGTAAGAACTTCTAGTGTTTCTACTTGTCACTTTTTTTGTCTGAGTATGTATCGGATTCTCGTGCAACGCTAGGACGATAATTCATTGCTTCATCACTGCAAATTTTCTAGCACGCATTAAGAACCTCGTCTTTCAACTAAGAGCATGCATTCAGGATTTTGTATATGCCGTATGATTGTATTTAGATGTCTCACAATAAATAAACACACACATATATATATATATATAATTTATCTAAATTTCTTTATATATATGTTAAAAATACAACCATACAAGAAGTGATAACCTTATCCTCACAACAATCACCCGAGCCCTCCACATAGGATCACACTTCCGACATGGCAACTCCCAAACCACCCAAAACCCTAATTCCCTTATCCTCATAGCCCCACCCCTCTCATAAACAAAATCCTAACTCACTCTTCCACACAGCACTCCTGCTGCCTTCCTCAGCTCGAAACCTCTCCAATGGCTTCCGCAACAGCATCAATACCGATCTCCAACTTCCTCTCTCCTCCCACTCTCAGCCAACCCAAGCCACACACTATCCCTAACCCTAACCCTAACCCACCGAAGATCTCCGTAAGAGCCGCAATCTCTCCGAAACCCAAACCCAACACCCCCCTCCTGCTTACTCTCAAGCCATCTCCGGCGACCGCGAAGGAGAAAGCCATTGCCGGACTCACCGCAGCTGCTCTGGTTGCAGCAATGACGATTCCTGAAATAGCCGAAGCAGCTCAGCCTGGACTTTCGCCTTCTCTTAAGAATTTTCTGCTCAGTATTGTTTCAGGAGGTGTTGTTCTTGGTGTGATCGTTGGAGCAGTCATTGGTGTTTCTAATTTCGATCCGGTGAAGAGGACTTGAAAAAAAAATTGCACTTTTGAAAAAAAAATTGCACTTTTGAAAAAAAAATTGTATTTTTTTTTTATCTTTTTCGTATGTTTGCTGGTTTTATAATTATGAAGTAATTGTGAAATTCTATGGAGTTTTGATAATATATGAATGTTTTCTAATTTTTTAATGATTTTTTTCTCTTTTTTAAAGTTTCATGTGAGATCAATTGAACTTGAAATGAGGTGAGAAATGCAAATTGGGAATGGTTATGGGTTTTTTTGAAAATTGAATCAAGTTGAGATTTTTATAGTTGATGAGGATGTAGCCGAACACGAGCTTCTTAACGAGCCGAACACGAGCTGTTCGCGAACAACGAGCCGTTTGACAGCCCTAGTTGGATGTAAAGATTTTCATAGTATTGCGTAAAACTAGAAATGTAAAGAAAAATAACAGTGGTTTTATAAATATAACACCAAAGACTTTCATATTTATACATATGACACTTAGTTGCATAGGTTTAATGTTGTAAATATAAATATGAAAGTTTTGGTATTAGATATGTAAATATTATATGAATTGTGTAGTATGTTTGTTAATTTCCTTCTAATTTACATCTAATTAATTTATGTAGTCTATCTTAATGGGCTATGTTTTTACTTATTTCTATGATGTGTTTATATTTCTTATTTATAGAATTGATATAATAGAAATCTCTTAATATGTAAGTCTCTTTAAGTATAGCATCTTTATTTCTAATGGACTACTTTAAAGTTTGACACAATGCTAATTAAATATAAATGAAAAGGGCATGCATGGCGTGTGTTGGACACACTATTGGTAACATATATAATAATACAACAACAAGCCTTTATCCCATTAAGTGCGTTTTGCTACATGAATGATTTTTCTCCATTATTGTGTCTTATTGAGTGTAATTTTCTCATTTAATTTTTATAAATAAAGTTTAATTTTTAGGCCTATCTGTACCTCTCTTAATGTAAGTCAAATCTAAAACTAACTACTCTCCTAGACAATTATTTAACCAAACCATCAAAGGCAACTCTCTCTAGTTTTGTTTGTCATTGGAGCTACTCCAACTCTTTCACGGTCATATCGTGCCACCTTTTGTCTCGAAGTATAAAGCCACTAATCCACACGAGGATTCTCCTCTCGACAATACTTTACTAAAATTTCATTTTTAAGTCTAAGCGTTACTTTTCTATCACAATAGGCCCGATGCAATCCTCCACTCAAACCATCCAACTTGAATTCTACTAATAACACCCTCATCTATATGACCAACACTTTGAACAATAGATCTAAGATTTTTAAAACGTTAACTTATTTTAATGAATTTATCATCAATTGTTAGAACCCCACTATTAGATCAACTACTATTAAAATTACATTTAATGTACTCAACTTTTGATCGACTCAAACGAAAGTCATTAGACTCTAAAGTTAACCTCCATAAATCAAGTTTTGTTGAACTTTCTCTAATCTTATCCACAAGAAGGATATCATCACTGAAACATATAAACAAGGTCTATCCTCATGTAAATGTCCAGTATGAACATCCATCACTAAAGCAAAAGAATAGGCTAAAACGTGATCCCTGATGTAATCCTAACTGAAATAGGAAAATGAATAGGCTAAAACATGATCCCTGATGTAATCCTAACTGAAATAGGAAAATACTTGGTCAATCCTATATGTGTTTGAACAGAGTAACGACTATAGTATACATATCTTTAATGACTTGAATATAAGACTTACATATTACATAATACAAACACTTCATGCTAATATATTTTATATTATAACACATAACAAAATTCATGCAGCCATATATATATGCATTTTTTTTTCTAGCAAAAGGAAATAAATGTACAAAAAAAAAATTACTTAAGAAAAATCCAAACTTTGTTCTCAACACATTTCTTTTCTAAAACTCTCCAATATAATTCTCTTGGAATCTCATCATAAGATTTTTCTAAGAAATTAGGAAACTTATATACATACTACACAATTCCTTTCTATTTACATATCAAACGCATAGTTTGATATTTGCATTTATATCACTTTGTTATCGTAAACTAGTGTATTTCATTTCTTAAAAAGTTAATAATAATGATATTTTTATAGTGATGTTAAAAATTCGGGCGTTATCTATGTAAATATGAAAGTTTGGGCTTTAGATATATAAATACATAAGAATTATGTGGTTGTTAAATGCCCATATACTATATAACTGGTTAGAGAGAGAGAGAGAGAGATAGAGAGAGTAGGGCTATAAACGAGCCGAGCTTGAGCGAACTCATGTTCGGCTCGTTCGAAATAGCTCGTGTTCGAAATCGGCTCGTGTTCGAAATTGGCTCATGGATAGTGTATTTGTGTTCGGCTCGAAATTGACTTGGAAAAATTAAATTGAAAAAATAAATAAATGTAAAGTATTAGATTCGAACCTGGACTAAATGTATACAATAGAAGAAAAAAATTAAATTGAAAAAATAAATAAATGTAAAGTGTGAGATTCGAACCTGGACTAAATGTATACAATAGAAGACACTAACCACATTATCACACGAGATTTTATGATTTAAACTTAGATATAAATATATATAATGTAATATCATATAAATAATATATGTAATATATTATTATATAAATAATTATATATATTTTTAATTTTGAGCTAAATCGAGCCAAACATGAGCGAACAAAGAGTTGTTCATGTTCGTCTCTTTTATTATTCGAGCTTTAAAAATTTGTTCGTGTTCGACTCATTTACTTAAAGAACGAGCCGAATACGAGCTACTTAACGAGCTGTTCGCGAACAACGAGCTTTTTTGACAGCCTAGAGAGAGAGAGAGAGAGAGAGAGATAGAGAGAGAGAGAGAGAGAGAGAGAAGAGATTTTATACTAAGCTATTTATAGCTAATTTTGCACCTAGTTATCCATACCTAATCTTATAATCTTCCATAAATTTATAAAAAGCCCACTTAGAAGAGCTACATTCATGTCATCAGTACAAGACTTACATATTACATAATACAAACACTTCATGCTAATATATTTTATATTATAACACATAACAAAATTCATGCAGCCATATATATGCATTTTTTTTTCTAGCAGAAGGAAATAAATGTACAAAAAAAAATTACTTAAGAAAAATCCAAACTTTGTTAAAATAAAGAAATAAAAATTATTTTTTCTGCCATGAACTTCTGCTAATTTTATTGACATTTTCTTATTAAAATTTACGATTTAAAATTTAATATAAGTGAGAATTTCTCATCGGAACCCAACCTGAAAATTATCGAGTCAACCCAAATAAAAAATTTTAAAGTTGAGTTCAAATGGAGTTGCCACATTAGGTCAATTCATGACACCCCCATTGAAAGAGCATCGTGTGTTCAACAATCGTCGAGATTGCAACAATATGAAATCCTGGTCACTTGGCAACTCGGCCTGTGGACAACATATACCTTCTTACAAGTTTAAGCTTCTCATTTGTTAGTAGTAATTGCTCCTCTTGGAGTGATGTGTTGACTCTCATGAACTTCTCTCAACATTTGAACACATTTTTTAGCTATTTGTCAAATAATGCTCTTCTTGGGTGAATTAACTGATTCATATTACCTTATTATGTCAACATCAACACCTCTCCATCAAATATAAAAGATAAGTACTTCAAAAAAAAAAAATAAATAAATAAAAATGTTGTATTCTTTTAATGAGCTAAACTCTTATGTTCGACCTTAGTCATTTACAAACACAATGTAAATATAATGTACCTTGGCCTGTTGGTTGACATCCTTGGTGTAAGACCACTCAGGTCGGGAGTTCGAATCCCCTCTGACACAATTGGTCTTAAGAAGGTGATACTCGAATTGTTAGGCACATTACGAGTTGTTGGAGACTCGTATAATAGCCTCTGGCCATTCCTTAGTGATCTTATACCAAGCTATTTATAGCTAATTTTGCACCTAGTTATCCACTAATATTTTAAAAAATATATAAATATATATATATATATATATATTTGTATGAACTTGTAAATGAATATTTTGTAAAGGCACAGGTTCTCCATCTAAGCCAGCACCTCTTTATCAAATTCAAAAGAAGAGGATACCGCTCTTGTTGGAATTTTAGAAACGTAGGAGATGAGTTGCAAATTTGAATAACATTATGATCAAAATGTTCAGAAACAAAATTGTGGCAACTCTTGCTGCTTGCTTAACTCTCCACAAAACAGGACAAAAAATAGCCACTCAATAGCATTAGTGTAGTACCTCTAAAACTATGCAGTGTTTCTTTCACTGCACATCAATCAATTCCACCTCAAAAACAAGCCAAGAGTTTGGTGGAATCTTCCCCACACCTTTAGCCCCATAACTGCATCATAAAAAATAAAAATTAAATAAAATAAAAATAAAACCTTATGTAATCACACCTACATTTCTATTGTTACATAAATTGATCCATACCACCTTATGTATGCATGAGAAGTTGCAATGATGGTCTTTTTGATGTAATAAAGGTAAAAAAGCAAAGTTTGTGTGCTGGATATATATGTAAATGTCCCAATATTTTATTGTTCAAAAAAAAAAAACACAGACAAGGCAGTCTTTATACCCGAATGAAGGTGGAATAGTGAGCCTTCTCTTATCACCAACACACATGCCTGGAAACAAATCAGGAATTGCAGTTTTAGATCATAGAATAAATTGTAAAAGAACTGCACTGCCATAATAAAAAAATTTCCTTTTTCATTACTCACCATTAACACCTATATCCCATCCCTTGATTACTTCACCTATGCCTGTAGTGCCCAAAAAAAAAAAAAAAAGGAAGAAGATTAATTTTTGAAATTGGCAGGTTCTGCAATTTGTGAATTATTACCAAGTCGGAACTTGAAGGGCTTCTGGCCGATGTTCGAATCGAAAATAGTTCCGTTTTTTAATTTGCCAATATAGCGGACTGATACCTGTCACAATGAGATGAAAATTTAGAAAAAAAAAAGAAAAAAAAAAGAAAAAAAGAGCAAAAATGAGTATTTGCAGAGTAAATCAGTAAATAATCTCATAGAAGGAGAGGAGACTAAACGAAAAGAAATAAAATAGCAGCATAGATGTCTCAGTAGATTTTTATATTGCACTGATGTCAAAGCAAATCCAATGGTTTTCAAGCTCATCTCGATATGCTTTGCATAAATATAAAGCTGTTCGAGAATCCCCTACTTGAGAGGAGACTGGCTCGACTGTTCAACAGGAGAGGATGTAGAGATCTATAAAAAGCTAGACTTTCCATGAAACCCGGGAATTTTGATTAGAATCAGTCTCGGTTTCCCTCTAGAAAATTTTTATTCGCTTGCCGGCTTCACTACACAATTGAGATTCTATGCAAGCAATTCTGTGCTGACCCCGAGTCCATCACCATCAGCCTACTTTTTATCCTCGAGCTCCCACACAAAAAATGCTTCAATTGATTGAACGTCATATTGCGACAGTGCGCTAGAAAACGTCAGGGCCATCACTCTTCTGCTTCACTAAACTGCAAAATAGCATGAGCGTTTTCCATGCGACCTATAACAGAGGTTAAGAGGCTATCATGGCATATTATGCAACAAGACCCAATAATATTTGTTAATTTCTAAGTTGTGGAGCATAATTTATGCTCTGCAGAGTAATGTCTTTCACAGATTAAATCACAGATCAACCTTCGAATGAAGTGATGAACAAGACAAACAAAATCTGTAGCAATGACATTAGGACACAATCGACAATCGGAGAACCTGTATAACATTTTTAAGGAAGATTTAGAAAAATACCACTCAATTCCTATGTATGTTTATATATCTAACATCTAAACTTCAAACTTTGAATGCATGCCATCTCACCTAGGCATGAAATGGTGTATTTCACTCTTTAAAAGTTACAAAAAGTGGTTTCTTTTATGTAATATGAAAGTTTAGGGTGGTATAAATGTAAAAAAAAAGTAAAGTTCAGGTGCTAGATATGCAAATACATAAAAACTAGGTGGTACATATGTAAATTCCCCCAAATTTTAATTTATTTTGTATATTAATATTCCTTTCTTCTCTGTTCTCGGCGATTGAATTATGCTTTGTGCGTTAAATTTTCCTTTTGTTTTATTCCCAACCAAACAAACTGAGAAAGTGCATGACAATATCAATGAATTTAAACCAACTTTGAGTTTCTAAAAAACAAGTTAATCCTGCCCACCAGATTCTGTCGGGCCATAAATTTCCTTTGGAAATTTTACATGCATACCACTCAACTTCTATGTATTTACATATCTAACATCTAAACTTCAAATTTACATGCATACCACTCAACTTCTAACATCTAAACTTCAATTTTTACATACATTCCACCTGACTCATGCATGAAAACGTGTACTTCACTTTCTAAAAGTTAAATCAGTGGTATTTTTGATGTGATATAAAGGATTTGGGTGGTACAAATGTAAAAGACAACGTTTACATATTCGACATGTAAAAACATAGGAATTGAATGGTATGTATGTAAATGTCCCTTCTCCTTTATAACAAAAAGGTGCACATATATTGAAACATGGATAAAAATACCAACTTCGGTACCATTATGTAATAAGCACTTTTGCCGATACCTTTTTTCCAGGAGACGCCTTTTTACCGTCTGGTTTACCCATGGAAACTTCCTCCACAATAAGACCGTTAGGAAAAGTTCTAGTTTTGATAGCTTGAGATCCGTGCAACGATTCCTCGACACCATTCGCCGGGCCAGCTTTCTCCTTTTCTAACTCGTGTTTTATATCCGAATAACTATTCTTTTTCCTATTTTTCTTTTTCTTTCTCTTCACAGCATTTTCATCTGCAGCCGCAGGGATGGCGTCGCTGCAAGAAATTACAGATTCAAAAGCGAGCAACATGTTAGTTATACTCTGGAAGCAGCAACATCCAACTTAGATAGAAGTAATTTTTCTTTTGTAAAAATCTTATGGGAATTTTACGTAGATATCACTTTCTATGTATTTACACATCTAATACCTAAAACTTTTACATATTGAACACCTCATCTATGCATGAACAGGTGAATTTAACCATTTAAAATGTAAAATAGTGATATTTACGACGTGATAGATTTGGGTGGTATGAATATAAAAAGAAAAATTGACGAGTTAGGCTATGTAAATTCAAAGGAATTTAGTGGTATGTATGCAAATACCCTGCCCCAATTTTTATATCTTACTTATCAATCGGCATCCCGTCCCCTTCAGGCATGTTATCCGTGTCAATTTTGTCGTCCTTACTATAGTCTTTCGTATCGGACACCGGTTCATCCCTAATTCTTCTTTTTTTGGATTTTGTCTTGCTATGCTTGGTGTTCTCAGAATCAGCAGGCAGAACAGGAGCAGATTCACAATCACTGTTACATAAAAAAACCAACAAAATTGCAATTAAATCAGAAAATAGACCTTTAAAGAACAATAAGGGACTGTTCGGGATCACTTTTGTTTTTATTTTTTGTATTTTATTTTTATTTTGTTTTATTTATGTTTTGATTTGAAACAACACATGTTTAACATATTTGACAAATATATGATTGATGTTATAAACGCTTAAAATATGTAAAAGTTTTTGAGTATTTTAAAAAACATGCTAATTTATCTTTAGAAACAAAAAATAAACATATGTAAGAAAACAAACTAAACAAATATATTTTTAGAAACAAAAATAAAAAGCAAAATCAATCCCAAACAAGCCCCAAGCTTATTTGTATTATTCCTACTTCTCAGTATCTTTAACTCCATTTTGCTTAGCATGTTCTTCAACTTCATTAATTGTAATATGAGCATCATTTTCAGATCTGTTCTCCATGTTGGTACTCTCCTTTTGTTTATTCTGTTTCTCATTGTTCTCAGATCCTACACAGCACGTTTCATCCTTCCCCTTCCTTTTCTTTGATTTTTCATTATTTTTAGATTCAGTTTCAATAGGAATTGCGGAATCACGAGCCGCGTCACTGCCAGAAAGAAGAAAAGAGTAGTAAGGTGAGGATAAATAGTAGAATGATAGTGTAAATTTGAAAACAAATACTAAGACAAACCTAATAAGAATAGTATCTTGACCAACAGCATCAATCTTTGTTTTCTTATCATGATTTATCTTCTTCTTTTTGGAACTTTTACTCTCGACGGGGAAACAAATGGGAAAACCATCTTCATCTTCGCTTTCTACTTTTGAAGATTCTTGGTTCCTCACCACTATTTGTTTGGATCCGAATTGAGCATCCTCGGAGTCACTAATCTCTTGTTTCTTTTTTAGGCGACGGAAGTTACGCTGTTGTTTGTCATCATCTTCAATCTCCTCAATCACAACTAGAGATTGGTGACAAAGAAAAACTTAGGGGTCTAGAGTTTACAGATGCAAACTCAAAATGACAGACAAAAAATAAGTGGCAAATATTTTTTAAAAAAATAATTGTTCACCAATATTCATTATGGTAAAATTTAAAATAATTTGATGCAAATAAAAAAAAAAACATGTAATACGCATGACAATTGTTAACTTAGAGATTGTCTAAAATATGAGAAATAGCAAGAAATAACAGAAAGAAATAAGACCACATATAGTCATATTAGCAACAATTGATTGAATTATGGCGTCAATTCCAATCGAACAATAGAATTTGGTGGTTTTAAATTTCCCATTGAATTAATCTGTTTTGCGCAATCACTTAACTGTCATTTGGCACAAAATTTAAAAAAATTCAGGTGTACATAGAAAAACAAAGATTTCTAATTTTCATTTGTGATCTTTGGAACTTTGAATTTTAAAAATAAAGAAAAAATATAATACTAATAAGGTAATGATTAATTGTAAGGCTATGCAAATGTTTTACAACATAGGAAAATCAAAATACCAAACCAATGATAAAAAAAAGGTAAAAAAGATCAAGGGAATCACATGCTTCACCGAAAATAATCGTGAAATAGAAAGCTTTGATATAACTGAAGAGCTGTGGATAAACAAAACTGAAATTTAATATAAAAACTAACCTGAAAAGACTAGTATGGAGAAGGTTAATAAAAATTTATTAAGATCCAAAGTTCATAAAGCATAAATAAATAGGAAACTAGCACTGAATACAGCTCCAAATATGCTTTCTTATACAAATTATTCCATGTGAAAAGTAGCGTCAAAGGATGTCAAGTGGAATGATCGTCAGACCGACCTTTGGTTCGTTCCAAAACTCACCCTTGCGACGGGCCTGCAAGAGAATCCCAGGAGCCAATCTGATCCTCGTGATCGTCAATTTTTAACCACTGTACAACCCTCTTTTTACTCACTTCCCCCGCAGGAGCTTCATTCGCCAATTTTCGCTTCACATCCAATTTCCGGGCATTTACCCACATACTACCGAGAGCCCTAACGAGAACATATTTGTCGGCGGTTGATGCTCTCTCACCGGATATCGTTGCAGACTCGAGCAGAAGAAGAGAAAAAGATCAGAAGCAGTAAAAGATAGAAAATCGTGTGAACACTCTCTTGGACTATGGCTTATTTATAGCATGGGCGCGAAAATCCATGGAAGACATTTATTAACTAATTATGTCATTCAATTTTGTAGTTGTATTTTTTTATCTTTGTATACGTGAAAAAAAATTCCCTTATTCTTATGTGCTACATAGTTTTAAAGAAGGGAATTAGGAAGCTAAATATGTATACGAAAGATTAGACGACATGAATCTTAAAGCAATTTGACAGCCAAAATGGAAGACGATCAATGATGGGTCGAGCAACCGACTAAATAACTGCAACATGGATCTCAGAAAAAGCAACGATCGGGGAGGAGTGGACGATTGACATAAGTTCAAAAGATCAATCACGCACGAAACCATTCAATTGGTTGGCAAACCGAAGATCTGGAAGTTATTCAAAGACTTCCCAGACGATCAATGCGATCTGAGATGACCGCTTAAATACTGACACTCCTGTTGATCGGTTACTGACACACAATCTGAATTTAGTCGATTGACTGAGCTAGACGATTGACGAGCTCAATATTAGTCGAGTGACCTGGTTTAATATCTTATTATATTTTTCTTGTAATTTACTAAAGTAGCCCCAAAAAACTAATGATTAGGGTTAAATCTGTAATTGTAACATTCATACTCCTCTGCCTATAAATAGGGGTCATTTCCTAGTAAAAGGTTACGCATTTCACAGTTTTTAATTGTTTCTTCCTTGTTCTGCTACGCTATATTTTTTCGATGTGTTTCCTAGACACTTTTGGATTCAACAATAACATACAAATACATGATGAGAATAACTTCCCTAATATGCACATGTAAATGCATGAATGCGCAAGTGAAAACATCATAAATTTATATCAATTTGAGGGACCAAAAAGTATAAAAAATACCGCTGCTTTTGGGCCTCTGAGAATCAGTATAAATTGCAACATCAGCATCATCTATAAAATCAGACTCATACTCATCTTCACTGCCATAACTGCAGCTATCAGAAGTATCAGATTCAGCAATATCCTCCCCATAAGATTCACTTACAAAAAGTTAAGGAAAAAATACCACCTAAACTTTATTTTTTACATTTATGCGAAACAAATATTTCACATCACATGAAAAATGCCATCATTTTAACTTCTAAAAAGTGAAATAGATCTTCTCATGCATAGCTAAGGAGGTATGTATGTAAAAATTGAAGTTTAGGTATTAGGCATGTAAATATATAGGAATTGAGTGATATGTATGCAAATCTTCCAAAAAAATATAGGGCCATTAGCATATTAATGTTGAAGCTTCGAGTTAAAAAGGATACGTATCATTTCCATCCAAGCTAGGCCCATGACCGAGATAATATCCAGTTAGGTGGACGCTTCTCTGCCCAAGAACAGAGAAGATAACTTCTTCATCATCCTCAAACTCCAATTCCAAATGGCAAGTTTCAGATACATTGGGAATCAAACTGCACAGCAAAACGGGGCTTTTGTTGCCTACATTGCACTGCACAGTGCTCTTAGATGTAGACTTTCCATCCCCCAGCGTTGCCTGCATAATCCACACCAAATCTTACTTAATCGAAGAATATATATAGCAATCAAACTTCCAACAATCCAAAATCACACAACAGAATTTGGTGAAAATTTTAAACACCGAACAAAACAAAAGTTCCCGGCTTGAATGAACAGTGATTAACATTCTACAAAGAGAAAAATCCCTCTTTCAAAAAAACTGACCTGAGATATACGAAGCCTGCCGCGTGATTGGTCGAAATTATGGCTGTGTGGTTTAGAAGGCTTGATTTCAACTCCTGAATGAAACAATTGATCGAAATGAAGACGAAGTGGAAGCAAGAACATATGAAGATGTTAAATCTAAAAGAGAGTAAATTCAACGGGATTGAAGGAAAAACTTACCCCAAAAAGCCATCTCGCAGAGAAACGATAGGCTCCGACGACAGGGTTTCCTGACAGTAGGCGGCTTCCTTAGAATGCTATAACGCTCAGAGCTTAGAACCCTAAACGTTAAACCCTAATTTCCAAAAATAACACTAGTTATTAATTGAATACTCGATATATTACATAACTTTAGTATTTATATATTTATACAAAATCATAATTTTTAAATTTTATTAGATATCACAAATATAAATTTTTTGAAAATAAAATAAATATAGTTTTTTCATCCACTTTAAGTGATTTAGACATTGAAATGTTATATAAGTAAATATAAAAAATTTAGATATTATATGAATAGAAAGAGATAAATTTTATGACATGTATACCTAATATTTTAATTGTATAAGGTAAAGGTAGATTTACTTCAAAAAATAGTATAAAATTTATTATTTATTTATACAATATAATTATTTTAGCAATAACTCTTTTAATTTGTTCTATATTGCTTTTATTTCATCATGAGTGTTGTTTGTCCTTTTTTGGCTATAGTTCTAAGATGTAAATGAAAATATGATTGCTTCATTTATTTATTTATTTGATTATATAAAACTATTCAAATATTTAAAAAAATTGAGAAAATATTTTTCTAATAAAATGCTTATGATGGATAAATTGTTGTTACTATAATATGAAGCGACATGTTTAAGTTTGGATGTACACAACGATTTGGATTATTTGGTAGTTACAATCATGTCATTGGAGCAAAAAAATTTGAATATTTGATTGAAAATTAAAATTATACGAATGTTTAATAAAAAATGATCAAAATTTGTAAACTTTAAGGTTATTTTTTCTAATTTCCTTTTTAAGAAATCATAATTTATGAGGATCACAATGTGATAAAGGGATAAAATTTTAGTTGAGTAGAAATCATAGGATGTATGATAGTAAATTTCATGTCAAAATTTACTAGTTTGGTCCTCCAATTGATGAGTGATATGAAAGCATGATGCCTACATTAACATTAATGAAGTAGTAGGCATCTATATATATATATATATATATATATCGCGTGCGATAAAATACACACGACAGTAGAGAGGGGACTTAATAATAATATTGCTCATTAATGAAGAGTATTAACTCTTCACTCAAACCGACCAAATTTTAAATTCAGCCAAAATGAATCACCACCAAAATTTCTAATTCATTGATACTTTACATTATATATATAATTCCTCATGTCAAATAATTGATTTTCTAAAATCCTAAAACAAATTTACATTGCACAATCAATTCTCCCAACCAAACAACCCACACATAAAACTTCCATACTTTTGCCATCAATTGAACACCCTGAGTTTTAAAGGAATGAGACCTTAAATATTTTTCATTACCATCATAAAAAAGAAATTATGGAAATTATCAATTCATTAAAATCAAATTAAGATGAGTGCATTATACATTTTATCAACTAATTTTTATATTTGGTTACAATACATTTTAAATAATTATTTGGGACAATTACATGCATACCACCAAATTCCTATGTATTTAAATATCTAACACCCAAATTTTGTTTTTCACATATATATACCTCACAAATCTTTCTTGATACCACCATTTTAAAAGGTGAAAAACAGTTTTCATGCATAAATAAGGAGGTATTTATGCAAAACATTGAAGATTAGGTGTTAAGTATGCAGATGCATAGGAGTTAAGTAGGTATATATGTAAATCTTCCTACATTCAATGACTGAAAAAAACACCAAAAACCAATTGTCAACAAAAGGCAAATTATACATGAACAGTAAAGGAAGTATTTTCTGCAAAAAACCACAGCAAATGATGACAAAAAAAAAAAGTCAAGCCAAACAAGCTATTTCTCATCACAACAAAAACAGAATAAACTTTGTCAATACAATCCATCTTGATTTATAACAAAAAACCAAACAAAATCCAGAAATGTCAGTTTCATCAGTACATGAAAACAAATTCAGCAGTAACAGCCAAAAAAGTAGAACAAATTTGTATGTAACTTAAGCAGGGGGGACTTCAATGTCAGTAGGAGGCAGAGTCAAAGATGGTCTGCCATACTCTTCTTCCTCCTTGGGTGGATGAATTGTAACCAGATCAGGTAAAGGAGTGGTTGGCCCCTGCTTGCCTTTGGGATCCCAGTCAAGCATAATCTTCACTTTTATGCCAAGCACCCCCTAGATATCAAATCAAAATAACAATAGGGGTTGAAGAACACAATCACATACCAAAATGATTAAATTGAATGTTTTTTAGGGCATTTACATATATAGCACACAAAGTATTTACATAACCACACCTAAGCTTTCATCTTTATGGGTAACACTCGAATCGTCGATAAAACAACAAAAATAGCACTGCTATCACTTTTTTAAGGTGAAATACACATTTTCATGCATAGGTTTAAAGCGCTAAAATTCTATGTGCAAATATGAAAGTTTAAGTGTGAGATATGTAAATAAAATAAAAAAGTGTGCTATGTATGTAATATGCCGTTTTTTTTTTAATTTGGAATTTATATACATACCACAGAATTCTTATGTATTTACATATGTAACATCCAAACTTTACTTTTTTTGCATTTATACCACAGTCTCAAATCTTTCACATCACATAAAGAATACAACTATTTTAACTTCTAAAAAGTGAAATACACCTTCACATGCATTCGTAAGTTGTCATGTATTATTGTATAAATTGATGACTAGGTGTAAGATGTTTAAATACATAAGTGGTATTACTGTAAATCTTCCTAAAAAGAAACTTAGGTAGTATCAGAAGCATGTTAAAGCTGCAGAGAAAAGTAAATTTTTATTAACTTAGTGAAATAACTAAAATAAAAAAATTAACTAGTACTTTGTTTCTATTTAGTTTGAAATAATATGTTAAAAGATATAAAATTCGCTATATGATATTGGAAACATAACTCACACAAATGATTCACATCAAAATGTCAAGTATGGCTCAAATAAAAATCTAATCGAGTTGACGTATAAAAAACTTCGTTCGGCTTAAGATTGGACCGAATAAACTTGAATTATCCAAGATCAAGATAGGCTTGAGCTTGGATTATTAAGTATTATTTCATATAAAGTAAGAGATGAAATAAAATGCACAATAAAAAATAACAATCTGCCCCATGAACATGAAATGACCCACAAACTAACTTATTCAAACAAAATAGCACCCAAAATGATTGATTATTACGATTCCTCTTGTGTGAATCAATCATTACAAAATTTACAAAGCATCCAAGTAATTGGGTTAACTCGAGTTTGGGAAACTCTATTTCATTTAACAAATGTATTTTAAGATTTCTAAAACAAAAACTCCAGCTTGTTTCTGTTAATTTATAATAAAACAAGGCAATGACAGACATACCCCAATTCCTATATATTTGCACTTCTAACACTTAAAAAGTTTACCTTTTACATTTGTACCAATAAAATCTTTCATATCTAACATAAAAAATACCAACATTTTAGGCTTTAAAAGTGGCATGTATGTAAAAATTAAAGTTTAGATGTTAGATATGTAAATATAAAAGAATTGAGAAGTACGTATTTAAATCTTCCTAATAAAAAACATGGTCTAAAGACGACAAAGCTACTGTCATTGAATTTACAAATACGAAAAATATCACGCTGGAACAAAGCCCACCTGTCTGAGAAGAACATGTCTTACGGCCGAGTCGATGTATTCATTCACCGGCTGACCCGAAGAAATCATGTATCCATCCTTGAATTTCATAGATTTGGCGCGCTGAGCCCTGAGTTTTCCGCTTACAATAACCTAAAAAATCACATAAGGAAAATGAAGGTTGGTCAATAATCCAAAATTTCGAGAGTTAAAAGCCAAATAAAAAAGAGAGATCAAACAACGAAAACTAAACATACCTCACATCCCTTCGCACCACTCTCCATGATAAACCTCAACACACCATAACACGCCCTGAAAAAACATTGCAAAGGTTGGGTAACAAAAAAATTGAAAAAGACCACAACAAAAAGGATATTTAGAGAAATAATCCTATAGTAAAATAATTAGTGTTCAGTTCAAAAAAGGCAGTCATGCAAAACTTGTAACAGAAGACATCTGATAATTAAAATCGAAATAATCCTTTAGAGAAAAAAATAAACAAAGGGAATGAATCAATTTAATTAATAGACTAACAAACATTTCCAAGAAAGAAAATACTTTTAAACTTGATGATTAGAAAGTTATAGACTGGTCCCAACTCCCAAATCATCAAGTCAAACAATTTTTAATTTCTCCAACAACAGATAAAGGCATAAGACAAATGAAGACGGATATAGGGCTATAGTTGATGTTATTTTAAAGATTCAAGGGGTTGTCTGGTAACTGATTTAGCCCCGGATTTAACCTGGATGTAGAGGCTAAATCTTACTAGACGGTCATTTTGGATAATAAAGCCGCAAATTTGATAAATCCGGATTTCACTGATTTTGGCCGAAAAACCCGGATTTCACTAAATCCCATGAATCGGTGGATTTACACGATTTGATGAAAGAGCCATTGGATTTATTCAACTTTCCGGGTAGAACTTCCCAAACAGTTTTAATGGATTTATAGGATTTAGTAAATCCGTTGCCAGAAAATTATCCGGATTTAACTCATTCACTAAATCCTAATAACGTAAATCTCATTTTTTGCCAGACAGCACCTAAGTGCTAAAGTGTAAATATGAAAGTCTGTGTGAGACGTGCAAATGCATAACAATTGTGAGCCAAGTATGTATATCCCCCTAAAATAAAAACATTATTAACATGAATTCTGATTTCATCAGATAGGAAGTGAAATGAAGAGAATAAATCTGTAAAAAACGGGTTTTTTAAAATATTATAGAGAAATTTCATGAATTTCAAATCACCAAAAAAAAAAAAAAAACCAATTCGGGAAACAGACAGTACAATGTAACCAACAATTGCATTACTGGAATGAAAAAATTTAGAACAAAAATAAAATCGTCAAATAAAAATCATGCCATCAAAATGCAACAATAAGCTACCAGAATAGCATAAGCATAGCCTTTTCTTAAATTGATGAGTATTCATCATGCAGCCATTGCAAGCTTATGTTATGGAATGATACCAAAATACTTGTTCATAACACAAACAGCTTGTACGACATCAATATTGCCACCTTCCGACACAAATTTGGCACCAAATGGCCGATTTGCTTTGTAGATGGCATTTTAATAAAAAAAAGAAAAAAAAACACTAAGTTTTAAGAGATGTTTTGTACACCGTAAAACATTTTAGATATAGTCAACTGGAACAATTTTGAGAGATATAGCAAACTGGAATAAGCATTTTAGAATATGTAACTCAACCTTCTATATTATAAGTGTATATGTGAACCAATGTTGCAAATGTTAGTTTGATCCATGGTAATATGATGATATGAGAGTTATGCTCTCTTCATTTTAATGGTTTTAATAATTGTATAAAGTATTCTTTTTCGTATCCCTAACAATGCAGATTTCTGCTTAAACATGTGTATTACATAATTGTTATTAGTTGTTAGCCCTTTCGATTGCTATGATGCCAAAATTTGGGGGTAGAGTATAGCTCATAAGCCAAAATAGGATACTTAAAAAAAAACAAGAGAAAAATACTAGATGGCCATAATGGTTCTTTGGCACAAAAGAAAAATACTAGATGGCCATAATGGTTCTTTGGCACATTAGAATCTTTTTTCACAAACAAAAACACCACAAAGGATTTTATCACACCTTCGGTGGCTAGAGTGCAAATGAAATAAAAATAAAAGGAAACAAGGAGGTTGGCATTGAATTGGACCATACGAAATGAAGCATTTAGCAAAAAAATAAAACATTAAACTTCCATTCACAAGGGATATCATAGGCGAGGAACCACAAGGAAACTTTTATGTAGGGCAACAAATGTAGATGCACTTCAATGGGAAGATGGGGTAGTTTAGAATGCAACAATATTTCCCTAAAACAAACATCAAACTAGTTCCAATTCTTGCAAATCTTTTATTTTGTAGTTATGATACATCCAACAAAGGCAGTCCAGCCATCAGCTTAACTCTTAAAAAACCTACATAGGAGTGGAAATGAGTTCGAATCAAGCTTGAGCAACTTTAGGCTCAAGTTTGAGCTTGATTAATTAATCGAGTTTGAGCTCGAGCTCAATTCAACAAGTTCAAGTTGGCTCACTAGACAGTTTTTTATTATAACAAGAAAAAAATGAACAATTATGGGCAAAAAATTAAAAAATCATTCAATACATAAAATTTAAATATAACTTCTAAATATTTTTAATAATTTAAATTTAAACTCTTGATTTTCATAAATTTTAAGTATGTTTTAAACGAGTCAAGGCCAGCTCAACTTTAGATCATTAGCTCGCGAGAACAACTAAATCAAATGTAGCAAAATAAGTAAAATTGCACCCCAACAAAAAATTATATATATAAAATTTACTAGAATATCATCTATTACATTGTTCGGACAGCACAAAAATAAAACAAAATTGTTTAGGTTAAAAATCTCACTCGAAAGAAAATTTAAAAAGAGTAGATTCATGTTCACTTCAACGCAACAAAATACAGCGAAACCTAATAATGATTCTATAAAATTCAAAGACCTGATTACGAAAGAGATAATGTTTATAAATAAAGAACAAGGAATAAAATGAATGGCATAGCAAAAGCACATCCCTTTAGACCTCTATCCACAATAATTCAAACTTCTCACACAAACAATCAAAACAAATGATTAGACCAAAGAAGATAAGTTTGCATTAAAGCTGGTTTAAATCCACAATGCATGTCCTGTCCCCATAAAATGTACAGGACTAAACAACAAGTACTCAAGGGGTGAAAATTAGTTATGGGAACATGAAACTGCTTTGATTATCATCTTATACACCCCTACAACGTCAAAAAAAATCTCAACCCTAACAAAAAGAAATTAAACTAAGATTAACAGAGGTCCTCTCAATCAAATAAACGAACTGTAAATAAAATTATAACAATCAATTTGTAAATTGAACAAGATCTAAGAAAAATAAAAAAAAAGGAATTAAAATCAAGTAAAAGAGAATATAAAACCTTCGGACAGCAAGACCGCCGAGAAGCTTGTATCGAAGAGACTCCGCCTGAGCAATGGCACAGAGCCCCCTGTTGTTAACCTTCTCGGCATAAAGCTCAACACTGTTCTCTGGAAATTTAAATCTTTTCTGCACCACTGATGTCAGCTCCCTAATCCTCCTCCCTTTCTCGCCTATAAGCATGCAAAACCAAAACCCATACATTTATCGAACCAAAAAAACCCTAAATGCCACCAGAGAGAAGGTAACAGTCAAGAGAGATCAAACCTAGAACGTTCTGAGTGCGAGTCGCCCTAATGATGATCTCAGTCCTCATGGGAGTAACTCTGACCTCCACGCCGGAATATCCATCTTCCGCTAGCTCACGAGTCAGCACTTCGTTCAGCTCCGCGAAGAAAACACCATCGGCCACAAACTGAAATAGTAGTAACACAACCTCAGCAAAACCATACAAAACATAGAAAATCTAAGAGTACAATCGAACCCCTCCGATAATCTGAAAGAATGATTTGATCACGATACTTGAACACAGAATTGCAACTCAAATCAGATGAAGTAAAACGCATAGAAAGTTCCTGAGGGGCAATTTTTAGGAGAATAAGCTCTAACCTTACGCTTCTTGCTCATCTGGGTTGCCATGGTTGGGAGATCAGCAAATGACTGAAGAAATGCGTTGCCTCGAGAGGTTTCTCTGCGCTCGTGCTTTCTGAGGAAAAGAAAAACCCTAGACGGAGGCGGCGAGGAACAGAACTCGGCTTATAAAGGGAGATTTGTCGTGAAAAAAATCGAACGGCACAGATTCACCTGATTCAGAAGTTGAAGGGCTGAGATAAGCCGGTCAAGTGTAGCGAGTATTTTTATTTTATATTTGAGATAATTACATTATACTACATAACCGATTAATTTGAGAATTTGATAAAAATGAAAAATATGGGTTTTGGGTTTTACCCTTAATTTTCAAATTTGAGTAAGAACTTGAAAAATGGATGAAAGAGAGGGTTTGATTTGTAAATATCCAGATGGTCTATATATAATTTATATTTTACTCTTAAAAATCCCATAATTTTATCAAATTGTGGGCATTAATTTAGACACATACAATTTGTGTAAGAAAAAAAAATTCAAAAAATATAGTTTAAATATGATTAATTTACTTTTCACTCGAGTATTACAATTTTTTTTTATTTATAACTATGCCCCAAATTCCAATAATTTAACTTTTGTTTGAAATAATTTAAAATTCAATGTAATATAATAATGTCCATGAAGCTCAACATTTAGTTCGTTTTCTATGTATTCGAAATCATCGATTTGATCGATTTTCAAATTCAAAGCTCAATGTGAAGTGTCGCCCCCATCGCCATGAAAGATTATAACATCAAGACTCCACAGTCAAATTCACACCCATGTATTAAATTATTTTTCTTTTAACTACGATAGACATATTTATACACGTGACAGGCATTGATTTGAGTCCTTAATGCAATAATTTTTTCGTCCCTTCCCCAACCACCACCTCAAAATACTTTGCTTTTTATGAAGCACATAAAGGCAGCCTTTTTTTATAACTAGTAAAAATAGAAAGCTAAATTGTTTGTAACATACTATGATCTATTTATTACTCATCATTGAGAGATGATAAAATGAAAATTGCATCTAACAAATTTAAGAGTCTGGTATGCATTGTACGGTACCATTTCTCTTGTATATTTACATAGACACAGCCCAAAACATTGATTATGACATAAACACGAACATAATTTCCACATAATATTAACCTGTTTAACAATCAAGCATCAGTTAAAAAAAAAAAAAGTTCATAGTCATCAAGCTTAAATCAGAAGCACTGCAAAAAGCTACTTAACGAGTACAAGATATAGTTTAAAAGAGAGATGGGAGAAATAGAAGACAGCAGCAGCCAGCATAAATAGATGTTACTGTGATCTGTTTACCGGTTCAAGGGCTTCGATCATGACCACACTGTTACCCCTTATAACCTGTAGCATTCCAACAAGACAGAAAATCAGATTTTTATTAAAACAAAAAAACCATCCAATTCTTATGTATTTACATGTCCAACACCTATACTTTGCTTTTTTTTTTACTTCTGTACCAACCAAAATCATCAATTTCACTATTTTAACTTCTAGAAAGTGAAATACATATTTTCATGCACGAGTAAGGTGGCATATAAGCAAAAAAATGAAGTTTATGTGTTAGATATGTAAATACATAAGAATTGAGAGGTATACATGTAAATGAATCTAATAAAAGTTAAGGAAGCTTGAGAATAAAATCTTGAAAAACTATGTCTGTAATGAAAATGTGTATTTAATTTTTAAGAAGTGGTGATAGACTTATTTTTGATGTGATGTTAAATAATTGAGTTGTTTACATGTAAATATGAATGTTTAGGTGACAGATATGTAAATACAAAAGAATTGTGTGGGTGTGTATGTAAATGCCCATAAAAAAAATGGGCAAGAAGCTTAGAATAACAGCTTAAAAATGAAAACAAGTATACAGATAATAGAGAGGATCTGGGAAGACAACATACCACCATTCCGATATCATGCTTCTCGCTGCTGCCGCTGACATCGACGGTGTTGTCAATCACGAGGTTCATGAACTGGTCGAATCCGCGCAAGGTGCCAACTACGGTGCGATTAGCATTCAACTTGACTGAAAATAAAGTGAAATGGAACAGTTTATTTCTCTAGGAAGATGAAAATGACAAGAATTTTAAGTAGCTCGTTCACTTGCAAAAAATAAAAAAATAAAAAAAAAATAAATGTTACGATATATTGATACATTCTTCATCAGGATGTTAAAATTATAACACATTTTATTTAAAAGATTCAAATCAATTGTTGGTTATCTCTGATAAAAAAAAAATACACGAAATAAAACGTAGAATTGTGATTGCTTCCTTAAACATAATTTAACCTGGTCTAATTTCCAAATAAGTGTATTGGATCTACAAAGAACATCAAATAAACAATAATAACCTGGATACAAGATAATAAGACTAACTCAAGCATAGTATATTTAAAGTACGCATGTTATTCTCCATTTGCATAAAGGTTTTTGTCTGATTTAATCTTTTTCAAATCTAATAAAAGGTTGAAACCATTGAACTATTGATGCAATGGAACAAAAATTGAGAGTATGATACACAATTTAAATGAGTATGATAAATATTTATATGCAAATTTTTTTATGTGAAGAACAAAATTTGAATGTAAGCTGTTCTATTATGCAGAATGATAGCAATATAGAATCAGGTATAATAACTTAAATGGTTAAAGATTGAGAATTAACTTATAAAAGTGCCTCTCGCAAGAACATCAATGGCGAATCTTTGATAAATTTTCTTTAGATTTAAGTCAGAAAATGAAACGAAACAAAAACATGAAATACTTATAAACATAGCCTCCAAACTCCAGAATTCCTCATTCATTCCTCCATAGGAAAACATAATCTAAAGCGACACTACAACAACTTTTCCTTGCAACATCTTCAGTAACCTACGGAATAGCTAGTCTTCAGCTCCTCTAGCAGAACATTTAGCACAGTTTTTCAACTCTACAAAATCTAGCAGAGTAATATGAGTTCATTATTATTTTCTATGCTATTTTGAAGTGGTCAGATGCTAGCATTATCTTACTCCATTTCAGTTCTTGGGCAAGTCCTATTTAATTTGTACCTAAAAAGAGAAAATGGCCATGGTAACCACCACCACCACCACCACCACCACCAACAACAAGCCTTTATCCCACTAAGTGAAGTTGGCCACATGAATTCTTTTTCGAGATCGGAGGTGAACAATAAGAAAAAAAAATCTTACTAGAACAGTGACTAGGTGGATAATTTGCAGACTATACAAAACTTAATAAAACTGCTACAAATGATCAATTCCCATTGCCCTTTATTAATTAGATGTTGGCCAGATTGTCAGGGCACACATTGTAATATTTCTTAGATGGCTGCTGAGAATATAATCATAATCATGTAGTACCCAGGGATCAAGAAAAGATCATGTTCACTAGCCTCTATTAAACTTTTGTCTTTAGAAGATTGCACTTTAGACTTCTGCAATACCATGCTACTTTTAAAGATATATAATGGCTATTTTTTTTTTATTTAATCAAGCTAGGAATTGAAGTGTTCATAAATGATTTCTATTAAGATATATAATGTCTTTAGAAGTTTTCTAATTAGCATAGTTCGAGTACAAAAAGTTTCAACACAAGGGGTAGAAGTGGACAAACTAAAAAATAAATGTAATAAAAAAACTTTCACCACCCACATCTATTAAGAGAGTTGAAAATTTCTTAGGCTATGCAGGATTTTCTATGAGATTTATTAAGTAATTCTTTAAAAATTACAAAATTATAATGTCATTTATTAGACGAAAAAAAAAATTAAGTTTAGAGTGTATTAAAGCCTTTAAGCCTTTAAACCTTTTAAAATAAATTAATCATGATATTTCTTATTGTAGTACCTGATTAGATTTTTTTTTTTTTTTTTTTTTTTTTTATGGAAGTGATAATGCAATAGAGGCTATTTTGGGGCAAATAAATTTTTTTTTTTCATGACATTTATTATACTATTAAAACTTTAATTAATTATGCAACCAATAAAAAGAATTATAAGTTATAATATTTACTTTTGACAAATTTAGATCTTAATTTTCTATGCATTCTGTTCTAACTAGGTATCCTTTTACTAATTCATTATCATTCTATGCATTTTACTCAACTTCAACATGTTCAAACAGCTCCCTTGATCCAATATGTAGCCAAAATAACAGCAGCAGCATTCAATCTCCTAAATATTTGCAAACAACTCAATCAACATTGGGCTAAAGCTTCATCGCTTAACATCATTTTTTCTTGTTGAATATGAAATAAATCATTGCTATTCATATAAATAACGATAAGTTTATTTGCAAGCACATTCCGTTTTCGTAAGGAGATCTCGTTAGGGCATGGAGGGAGCGAACAAAAACGGATAGTCACTTTGCCTCGCATTTCCAAAACAATACAGAAGCAAATTACCAAAGCAAGCATAAATGTACCGAAATTCAAACCTCAAACCTTCAAGTGTTAAAAGTAAAGCTTGTAATAAACCTAAGTACAATCATTTCACCATAGAAAAGTGTATCAAACACCTTTAAATCAACGGAACTGCGTTCTCTGAGTGTGTACCACTTGCCTTGTCCAAACTTCCATTACATCACTTTTGTGCATCAACTAACAAGTATTCATCATTATCTTTTTTTCAGAAAAATGTAAAAGTGCAATGCATGTGGAACACCAAAGCCGAGCTCAAATTTTTCAACTACAAACACATGCACGACTTACTGAGGTGAAGCATAAACTTCATAGATCATGTAAAATTAAGAAAATAACAACTACAATCAAATTAAAAGTACTAGGGGCTTTTACCATACATACCACCCAATTCCTACGCATTTACATATATAATATATAAAGTTTACTTTTTACATTTATACCACCCAAATCTTTAACATCACATAAAAAATACCAGCATTTTAAATTTTAAAAATTGAAGTACACCTTTTCATGCATAGGTAAGGTAAGCTGTTACATCTGTAAAAAATGAGATTTAAGTATTAGATATGTAAATACATAGGTATTCAGTGGCATGTATGTAAATCTTCCAAATTAATATTTGAAATGTGGAATTTCATAATTCAAATAACTCCAAGGCAAAGCACATAATTGCAATATTGCATTGTAAAAAAAATTGCAGAAAAAATAATTCAAGCACCACAAAATCAAAAAATGCCGAAAGGAAAATCCCAATAATTAGTACAAATATGGTTCCGGCTAACCACTAAAGTTTCAGGCTTCCGGGCTAGATGATAGCTGTGTAAAACCTTTGCAAATCATTGATCGCTAAAAACATAAGTATTTAACACAGATTCTTCCAGGAGAAAACAACCTCAAAAAGCCAAGAATGAAGATCCAATCTTTAAGAGGCCAAAATGGCAGAAATATCAAATTGGCACTTCGCTAAATTATAAATTTTAAGACAAATGAACCTTAAATATGAGATCATTCCAATACAAAAAAACCATAGGTTAATTAACTTGCACATTTACAATCAATACGCAAAACCAAACAAAAAAGAGTAAAAAATAATGGATGATTATGCAAAACCAAACAAAAAAGAGTAAAAAATAATGGATGACTATCCAAATATTATTAATATTTTGACAACATTTTAACAATTTAAGAATTTTACATAATTATCATCAAAGGATTTTTCCTGTAAACAAAATTGTAAGCATTATCACAAACAATACTGAAAAAGGATGATTTCTAAGCTTTCTTGTTGAGCTATGTGCCGCCTCCTTCTCTCCCTCAATTATGTAAATGCTTCTTCCTCCAAATCCAATAAGTAATCACTAACAAAATCTACCACCATAACCAAAGTATATCTAAAATCTAAACCAAAAATAAAACCTAAACGTTCAAACTCCTTTCTAAATCAAGAAAATGCTTCCTTTTTTTATTTCTTCCTGTAAAAACTAAAACCATGATAGTATTCTTTTCATTGTACTCAAAAAGAAATTGAATGCGGTCCGTCCCCCAACATTTCTCACTTTCTCTATGTAGAGCTCACGGTAGACCATAGACCATGCATTGGATATTCAATCATGTCATGCTTATTTAGTAAATTTCATACTATGTTCTTACATTTCTTGTAAATTTACTAGATTTTGATGCCATTTTTATATTAATTTAGGACTTATATCTATTTATCAAGTAAGGGTGTTTACTACAACTAATAAAAATCGTGCACTTAAAGTGCATGTGGCTAAAAAAATATTTAAATTGATATTTTTCTTGAAAAGAAAATATAGCTCATATCATATTTAAAGAAAGCATGCCATACATTAACATAGAAGAAATAAAAAAAAAAAATTGCTCCTGATACAAATAACGCTCAGTGTGATTCATGCATGATAAAAATTAAAAAGAGAGCAATTAATTAAATATTAATTAATCAACATATCAATAACTAATGTCTTGTTTATTAATTAATCATGAAGTAGCAAAAAGAAGTTAAAATAAAGAAGACATTGGTCAATTTCTATTTGTCAACTGTAAAGGCTCTTTCTACTTCTTAAACATGGATTCATTTATGCTAACTTAAAAAATTGCATTATTAAGTACTTCAAATTACATATATATTGATTAAGCCAAGTTACGAGTTTATTGAATAAGCCGGTGCACGTATAAAAATATATATTAATCAATTAAGCATGACATTCTTTAAATATTTTGGACAATAATATGAGTTAGTTTTTCTGTGATTATTACTAATAAACCATTATCTATCAATTAAAAGTTAAGTATTATAAAAAATAAGTGACTAGAAAGCTTGCTTAATTTATTCCTCTTATGGGTCTTTATATACAAAATTATCTAAAAAATAATTGAAAATCCCTAATTACAAATAATTTAAAAATTAGAACTATTTTCCAAAACAAAATATCTTGGCCACTGGGAAGAGGAACCAATCCTAGCACTCTAATTTTCATTTTAAGCACCAGAATCCCTTGTACATGTTCCTTATTTAGCACATGAATCCATGGTTCCTTTCATTCATTATTTAGCAATAATAGCAATTTCAACGCCTTCTCAAAC